GTTCAGGTATTTTTTTCGTAGTCTGTAGGTCTGGCCGCTCAAGCTCCGTCCACACTTTGTTGCCACCGCTTTGCTAACATTTGTGGGGTCACCTTCCATGTCAAATTGATCGTAGCAACAACCACAAATCTTGTAAGTCATAATTAATTATATTACATTAATTCAATCAATTATGTAAAACTTTTACCGTTAGACGCTGAAACATAGGTGCCATAACTTCTTTGTTGACATGTTTCCACCTGCGAATGCTAAAGTCTGGCAAGTCTGTTCGGACCTCAACACCAATTTTGGAGACTAATTGAGAGGCATGATCCCCCACTGGCGCACGATACTCCTGTGGTATGGGAACTTTGAGCTTTCCATCTTTTTGAACCATTGCTTGAACCTTCAACCCGCGTGTCAAGCCACGAGGATGTCTACTAGGCACTGTTTTAAAGACATAACATTGACTGGTTAGCAATTAATTAAAACGAAATCATAAAAGCAATATAAGTAAATTTTTCTTTTTTTAGTAAGTCATAAAATAAAATGATAACATATAGAGATATACGAGGGGCATTCCCCAGGCCTTACAACACCAAACAAAAAAAACTAGAGCTATAAAAGAGAAACAAAACCAAACAGATAAACTAAACTAAATAAACTATAAAGAGAATCATCCTAAAATAAACCACACAAAAGAATGTTCATTTGCCACATGAGAAAAAAAGGGCTATGAACATTCAATAAACTAGCCAAAAGCAATACAAAATACACTTGCACAAACCTCAAGAGAGAAAAAGCAAGCAAAACGAGAAAATAAACCCAAGAAAAGCCCTGCACAAACAGCACTAGTAGCAGCCACACAGGTACAGCTGCAGCTTTCTTCCCTACTCTCAAGTTGATGCTTTTCATTTCTCAAGTTGTTTTCTCTTTTTCACAATTATTTTTGCTATTCCGTTTTCTTGTTTCCTTACTCTTTCCTACATCTGCAGCTTTTTCGTTATTCTCTGTTACTGCCAATTTCTTCCCTACTCTTTGTTTCTGTTCAGTCTCTCCTATACAACTGCTGCTTTGTTCTGCAGTTGTTGCAGCTGCTGAGTCTTTACTGTACTGCTATTGCTTTCTATTCACTAGTCTCCTTCTCTATTTCTCTTATAGAGCACTAGTCTCCTTCTCTGTTTTGGTAAGTAGTTCAGCTACTCTCACCACAATTTTAGTACCTTGGGTGCTTCCATCAGTGGTGATGAAGTGTTCTTTACCCACAAATCACATAATTTTTTGGGCTCAAGGTTGGCTGTGATTACCCCAGTGAGGACCTTTATGCTAGGGTATACCAATATCGCAAGCTTGGCTACACAATTTAACCTAAGATTTCACATAACCCAGATTTTATAGGCCTACTCCCATCTGGGATCCAACATAGCAAATATGAAATTTGAGCATATCACAATAGTGTTCTAAATTTAAGCATTTAAACAAAAACTACAACTTGGAAAAATGTATTACAGTGTAGTACAACAAAGTCAAGGCAACAATTAAAGATTAAATTCCGGAAAATTTCGAGGTCCAGTTCTTCAGTTAGCAAAATCCTCAAGTGCATTAAGTCATTACCACTTGGTAAATCCTCATCACAAACGAAGCAACCCAACAAGCAATTCACGTAAAAAGCCCAACAATTTTTCCTGAAAAAAATTCAGTATGAGCAAAGAAATGAAATCAAAATTTTGGCCCTCAGATTCTTCAATTACTAATTCCACAACTTCATAGACAGAGGCAGACAGATATTTTCACCCAATTAAGCACAATTGAAACTATTGAAAAGGTTTTCACTATCTTAGAAACCGCAGTAGCATGATGGCACAAAAGGACAACATTTTATTTTCTTTCCTATTTCCCCTCTTTCTCACATATTCTCAGCTACCAAACAAAGAAAATCCTTTAAAAAAAAAAAGAAGAAGCACTGCATCACCATTGGCCTTTACCCACAAATTCTGATTAAATCATGTTCCTTTTATTGACATAATTCTGATTAAATCATGTTTAACATGAAACCACGTAAAGCTTTTGTTTGTGTGAGAAAACAGAAACTCCAAAATGTCAGCCTCCCCATAACAACACTTGAAGCAAATATGAAGTGTTTTTATTTTTCCCCTAGTTCAATAAATTCTTGCACTTTCAGCAGAAGTAGATAACAATTTGTTTCATTAAACATAACCTGCAATGGCAACAACAATGGCAATGGATCGGATGCCACATCTTTTTCACAACCTACTTTGAGTTTCCAGAACGTCCGGAAGGACTTCTATCACTCCTAGCCATAATCTATTGCTTTCAATCCTCTACCACTGTAATTTTTTATGTTTTTGTTTTTGTTTTTATTTTTGTTTTTGTTGTTTTTTCAAATTTGTATGAACCAAATAGAGAAAGAAGCAACTATCTAGCTTAGTCGTAATACTCAAATCTAGGTATCACGCAGGGTAAGAGAGAGTTTCATCTACCAAGTCAATTCTTTGATTTTTCTCACGTGCAATTATTGGGTACCAAAGTATTGTCACGTGGTGCCTTCTTTGATTGAGTTTGGTTTACAGGATAGGGCTTATCGCTTATCCCATTTACATTAATGGTTTGTCTAATAGTATGAAAGGTGGCAATTAATGATTGGTGACGAGTACTATCACATAACAATGTTTTTGTTCAAAGAACTAGGAATGCTTGAAAACTAAGAGCATCTCCAATAGAGATGTTAACTTTGTGTGTTATATGACAAAAAATTAAAAGTGAGACCAAAACTAAAATAAAAAATAAAAAATCAATCCCTATGAAACAAATCGCTTGAAATTTTTTGCACCATAGAATTATATTAAAACAGAGAATTTCTTTAGCTTAATAAAATTCAGTATCTTACCGACACTAGATTAGGGGGCTGCCTCCCTCGGTGCCTCCATATCGACATCAAGTGGCTGTGAGTGTTGGGTATCCACATTGTCATGTAAATCCCCATTTGGAACAACAATTGCCTCGTGCGAAGGTTAAAGAGATGACTGCGCCAATCGTTTTGGTGGCATTGGTAAGCCCTAAAAAACATAATACAAAAGCATAAACAATAAATACATAAAAATGGATAAGTAAAGATATGTATATGGAAACCCATCAAGGCCACTGTTGATATTTGTAATCTGATCCAGTCCACTCCTTTTCTTCCCAAGACTGGTCCTGACAAGTGGTTGCTTTGAATATTTTTAAAATGGTCAGGTAAAGGGTGTTGTCACTCAAAAACCTGTAGGCAAGTTGAGTGGTTGAGTGGTTGTGAGCTACCAGTAGTTCTAATATCTTTAATTGGCTTTTCCTAATTGTGTGCTTTGCAAGTTGTCAATCTGGTGTTTCCAACATGGTCAAATTATGTCTTAATTCGTTATACATTTGTGTTCCAGCTAACTTACTCCTACAGTTTGTTTTGGTATGCATATTGTTGTATGTCTAAACATTTATCTATCCAGCCATGAGGTAGATCAGCAGCTATTCCTCCAATACGAAAATAATTATGCATAAAAATTACATTAATTAATAACATTTGGTCAGAAATAATAATATGCTAAAAATTACATATCATAATCCATATCAGGATCCATATCAACATCAGGAATGTTATGTTCTTCATCTCCTTCATTATCTCTATTCTCTTCCATTATCTCATCTAATGACCCTACTTCCGAAATAACATTGAATTCAACATCATCCCTACGATATCGAACAATTGGGTCAATGTCAATTGAAACAACATCAGTAATGTTTTCTTGTTGGAACAAATCATTATTTTCTGAAGGATCCAACAATTCTCCATCAATAGCTTCTGGAACATCAAAGACACCTCTATGTTGTACCCTTTGTACGACATTCCAAGGTTCACCCAATTTGGTATCATTTAGATAGAATACTTGCTTAGCTTGACTAGGTAGGATAAATGGGTCAGATTGGTACCACTGACTTTTCACGTCAATGCTTGTGCAATATGTATCAAATCGTATTGTTTTGTTTCTACCAGTGTTACCGATGTTGTACTATTCACACTGGAACAAAACAACCTTTTTTCACATATGTAGTCAAATTTCAAAACCTTGCACAAGTGACCGTAGAAGTCATGCAATTTTCCTTCGTGATCCCCTTCTATAAGCACACCATTATTCTGACTCGTACGACGGTTATCTAGATCTCGAGTATGGAATTGTCTGCTATTGATTATGCAACTTGAGTACTCTTTCACTAGCAAATTAGGACCATTCGCTAAGGACCACAATTCTTCGGTTGCTTCTGGTGCCTCATCAACTCTCAATCTATTTATCTACATCCACATGCAATGTGCAACACTTGAATTATGTTAGTAATGTTTGTATTTTATACAAGCCTAATAGTGTTTGGCCAATTGTGAATATTAAAAATGACTTACATATTCTTTGAACCACTTTGGAAATTCCTTCTGTTGTATCTGAGTTATATCTTGTCCACTGGGAATTTGTAACAAATTCTTGTGTTCCCTACTCAAATAGTTTTGGTTAATGTGTGAAATACTACTATTATTAATGACTAATAACATGATAATTGTTAAAATATATATAATTATAAGAAACACGTACTGAAGATACTTCTCTATCTCAGGGCTATTGTATAATAAGAACCAATGAGCAATATCACGAAGTTCCTGTGACATCTCAACATGCTTTCTGATTTGGCCAATAGGACGAGCAGTTTCGGTGAATATTATCAAACCTTCACGATGGACTCCATAATCTTCATTTCGTGCATCTTGATTATGCACGGTTTCAATCCCTTCAAGATACATTGAGCAAAAAGTAATGCACTCCTTGACAATGTAGGCCTCTGTAATAGAACCTTCTGGTCGAGCTCGATTGGTGACAAACTTTTTCAAAGCTCCGAGAAACCTTGAAAAGATAACCAATTAGGAGTATGGTTAGGCACACAACATAACCTATACCTTTCATTTGAAAGTACAATTTTAGAAATTACCTTTCAATCGGGTACATCCACCGATATTGCACAGGTCCTCCGAGAATAGTCTCACGTGGCAAGTGAATGGCCAAATGAACCATCACATCGAAGAAGGCTGGAGGGAAGATCTTTTCAAACTTACATAGTATGAGTACTATACGTTTCTCTAATTTCTCTATTTCACTTCGTTTCAGTGTCCTTGAGCATAGATCTTGGAAGAAGCTACCTAACTCAAAAAGTGTTGTATTGATCTTTTTATCTACGTAACCACACATCCCAATAGGAAGAATCCGTTGTATAAGTACATGGTAGTCGTGGCTTTTCAATCCTGTTAATCTACCATTTTTTGCATTCACTGATCTCGAAATGTTTGCCGCGTACCCATCTGGGTACTTCACTGATTTCAAGAATTCAAAGAAACCCTCTCTCTCTTTAGGGGTCAATGAGAAGCTGGCTCGTGGCTTCACATATGATCCATCGGGATTTGTTTTCAGCCACAATTCTTTCCTTATATTCATATCTTCTAAATCCATTCGTGCCTTATCTGTATCCTTGTTCTTCCCATCAATTCCCAACATCGTTCCAAAAACATTTTCACTAAAGTTCTTCTCCACATGCATGACATCAATGTTGTGTCGAAGCCTCCTTTTCTTCCAATACGGTAGCTCATACAAGATGCTTACCTTTGTCCAGTTTGGGTTCTGACGAGGTCTTTTCCTATTGCTTGGATGTTTTCCATATGTGACACCCATCACACTGCCCAATTGTTCTTCAATCTTTTCTATCGGTATCACCAAAGATCTCTTCCGTTTTTCATGCTTGCCATTATATGCTCTACTCTTTCGCCTTTCTGGGTGGTCATCAGGCAAGTAGCATCGATGGTTGCTGTACGCAGTCTTACTTTTTAAAGATTCAAAATATGGTTCATCATTGCAAGTGTAAGAAGAGTAATGACCCTTTGTTCTCCATCCAGAAATGTCACCAAATGCGGGCCAATCATGTATCGTCCACTGCAAAGCTGCACGCATGTAGAAAGTCTCACCAGTCGAGGCATCATAGGTTAATGTACCATTTTCCCATAATTCATTCAATTCTTCCACTAAAGGTCTCATGTAGACATCAATATCAATTCCTAGTTGTGATTCACTAGGAATAAGTAATGATAGCATGAAAAATGGGTCCTTCATAGCCAACCATGGTGGCAAGTTGTACGGAATAAGTACGACAGGCCACACACTATATGAGTTATTCATATTTCCGAAAGGGTTGAAACCATCAGTAGCCAACCCTAGCCTCACATTCCGAGGCTCCAAGGCAAATTTAGGATGTTGTGTATCGAATTCCTTCCACTCATCACTATCTGCAGGATGCCTCAATACACCGTCATCTAGATGTTTTTCCTTGAACCATTTCATATCCTCGGCTCTCTTCCTCGACATGTACAACCTTTTCAATCTCAGTGTTAACGGGAAGTATCGAAGAACCTTACGAGAGATCTTCTTACCTCTACCATGATTTGTCTTGTATCTAGAAGCCTTACAGTTTGGACATTTATCTAGTGTTGCATTCCCCGTCCAAAAGAGCACACAATCGTTTACACAAGCATCAATGAGCTCGTATGACAAACCCAATTCACGTAGTAATTTTTTAGCTTCATAAGTTGACTTTGGAACCAAATTATCCTTCGATAAAAATTTTGTTAAAAACTCTAGTATCATGTCAACTGACTTATTACTCCAATGGTTTGTTACCTTCATATTAAGTATCTCGATGACAAATTTTAACAAAGTGTAATTTGTGCAACCTGGGTACACCTCACGTTTGGCATCATTCAATAATTTATCAAAAGTGCGAACCTCCTCCTCTTGAGTTGTATTAGTTGATTCCCCTCTTATTCGATCTTCCACTAAGGCATCAATACCTCCCAAAACCTCATTGCCCTCAACGGGTATATCATGATGATAAGCCTCGTTTGATTCACGGGGTTCCCCATGCACGTGCCAGATAGTGTAAGTTGCAATAATCCCATGTTGCAGCAAATGAATTTGAACAATTTGAAAATTTTGACGAACAACATTCACACACTTTCGACAAGGGCACAAAATTTTACCATCTCGATCGATAACCGCCATTGCAAAACGAAGAAATGATATTACCCCATCATTATATGCCCGACTTATCCTTCCATCAACTGTGCTACCTAATGCAATCCAACTTTTGTCGATGTCTGACTATGCCGAGTTAATTAAAGTTAGGTGAATAAGACAAATTTTATATAGAAATATATATATATTTTTTAATTAAAAAAAAATTCAAGTCCAATGATTATACTGAGTTATATAAATTACAACCACACATAAATCACGTGAGAAAATAGCCAAAGCAATTTAGTGCAAAGAGAAGAAGTATTCATAACCAAAACATAAACCACAACAAAATAACCATCAATAAGAAGACAAATATCATAATTCAGAGAAAATTTAACCAATAAAGCAGTGAGCAGAGAGTAAAAAGCAGATAACATGACACAGAAAGAAAACCCACAATATGCCACATTGAGTTTCTAAAGCAGTCAATTTAAGTACTCAAATATCAAAGAAAGATTTACAAGAAAAAGACCCAAAGAAGGGATATTCTTCACTCTCTTATTAACACAATAGTCCTCTAGAAAACACCATCAAGTAAAGGTAACAAAGAAGTCAACTCATTAACCTTCTGATCATTAGGATTTGTGAAAAGATGAAACTTCTGAAAAATAGGAACACATCAAAAACTAACATTGATCATTGAAAGTAAAATTCACCAATCAGGATAGCCTCTTCAACTAGACAATCAGGATAACCTCTTCAACTAGACAATTGTTACATAAATTTTATTCAAGGAAATCACTGACCAATGATTTGCAGGTTACGTGGCCAACATTAGTTTATGAAATTCAGGACATAAACATTGAAAGTTAATGACATAAACTAAAAACTAAAAACTAAGAATATTATCTGACCTATTTCATAAACTAAAAACATTGAAATTGCTAACCAATTAATGAACTTGAATGTGGAAAGCCACAGAACCTTCCTGTAACTATCATCACAATAAATAAAAAAAATATCAAACCCAGGTCCATCATCACTATTCTCTTGGTTCCAAGGTTTGCATATTGCAATTTGCATTACGATTCTTCAATTTCTCTCAGTATACAAGGCAAGGATATGAGACATTTATCGAAGAAAAAAATGCTCACATCTATTAAGGTTTAACCTAATATTTCTAACTTATCAAATGAATGAGATATATAAATTCCATATTTTCTTTAAATTCCATTAATTGGAAGTATATTTCTAAAGAATATACAATATTTTATCTCAAAATATTATACAACATGTAATATATATATATATATATGAGTATTCTCATATGAAAGATATTTTGTCTACACAAAAACCACACACTACAGATACAAATTACAATAGGAAAATTTCCTACGTTTATGCTAATTATAACCATGCTTATAAGTTATATCAATATAAACGTGACAAAGGTGCTTTTGAAATGGGTATTGAATCCCGTATAGATTATCAATTTCTTGAACATCATTACATTTCAAGTTCTAAACAGTGGAAATAAGTTGGAGAGGAAGCGACAGAGAGATTGAGGATGTTAATGATCAAAGGCTATGGTATATAAAGATTCAAGATAAACACTTGTCACATCTTTATGTAGACAGCTGGGGAAAAAAAATGGCAATTTTAATGTAAGAAGTAAACAAAATAAGCCTACCCATGCTCATAGCAACAATGTTTTATTGATCAGGAAGTATTTGGAGTATTTGGAAATGCCAACAATAACTTGAGGCTTCTGATCTCATTTACAACAATTGAAAAAATGAGACTGTCAACAAAGCAACCGACTGCCTTCCACTGGTTCTATCATACAACCACCTCAAACAAGACTCTTCGTAACCAATAAAATAAACCATAGTGAAAATTAAGTATGATTAATATTGCAATAAAATTAGTACAAAAGCTAACAACATTCGAACTTACTCATATCCAGGATAAGATAAAAGCAATATTAAGAGGGTGAAATAGTATAGAAAAGATATATGTTGCTAAAATAACATGTCTATTTTAATACATGTCAAACAACTTCTAAAGTGTATATGTCCATGTACTTCCTTTCTTGTTTCAAATCTTATGTCTACCCATGCTCACAAGTTATTGACCAGTCAAAAACTTGCTTTATAACCTACTGCGCAAAATAACCATAGAGGAGTCGGACTCAAAATTTAGAGGGTATCCAGGTTTTCTTTACTAACAAAGTCAGTAATGCACTCAACTTTAGTGATCAAGAAAAGAAGTCTGTTCACGGGTGCACTAACAACCATTAACACACTTAAAATGATTGTACACCATTCATAAAAGTGGTTGTATAACTATTTAATAGTTTGTTAAGCCCTGGTTTGGCATTTATTTTGGGGCTAAATAATTACAAAAAAAAAAAACAAAATTGATTATAAAGGCTAATAAGACAAAATACTACTTTTTATTTATAATCATTACACTTTTTCTAAAAAAAAAAAAAAAAAAGTCCCAAAACAAAAACGAGGCTAAAAAAGTCCTAACACAAAAGAGTTGGCTATATTAACCAATGCCAAACGACCCCTAAGCAATACACTCATCCCTTCAAAAATGACCTCTCATTTTCAAATTCTAGGTTCTCTCTATCTCCCTGGTCTCATTTGACAACATACTATTTTAGTTTAAAAGTCAAAAAATCATAAAAAATATTATAACCTATACAAAAAAGTCACCGATTCCCTTTTCTGTCTACATTTTGCATATCTTTTCATAAAAAATCAAAAATTCATTCCAAACATACTAATTTTTAACCTCATATTTTAACCAAAAAATTAAAAAATTACTAAAATAACCTGTTCCTGAATGAGGTTTTCACTAACTAGCCAAAGATTAATGATTTGTCCACTGAATTTGTTTAGTCTGAATTTGCCTGAATGAGCCTCTACCCAGAAGAGACTCATTTGGGCGAATTCGGACTAAACAAATTTAGTGGATGTAGCGGTGATAAAGTCACACAACCTTAGCCTCCATTTGGGATGTAGATTGACTTTTTGACTTTTTTAGCCTAGGGCTAAAAAGCCTCGTTTGAGATAGATTTTTTTGGCTTTTTTAACTTTTGTGAGCGAAAAAATAAAATGATTACAGTTTGAATGTGACATTTTGTCCTATTTGACTAAAATAGTTAATTTTGTCCAATATAGCTATTTTAGCCCAAAAGGGCATACCAAACATAGCCAACCTATAGCTTATACAAAAAAGTCCAAGATTCATTTTTCTCTTTATGTTTTACACATATTTTCGTAAAAAACCATAAATTTATTCCAAACATACTATTTTTTTTACCTCAGATTTTAGCCAAAAAGTTATTAAAATAGTATTTTCCCAAACAAGGCCTAAGTATCTCTTTTTTGAAACATTTTTAATTATTTGGTCAACATTTTCAACCAAAAAAGAAAAACAGCTAAATTTTTATTTTTTGCAACCAAATTATTAGAAATAGAAATTGGAAAGTTAAATTCTCTCATCATTTTCCAACCCACAAGAAGTCCATGGACAGGGAGAAACATGAAATGATGTTTTCTAAGCCTAAATCAACTGGAAATTGATAGTCAATTCAAACCATGAAATTATTATTGATGTTTTGATGCCCTAATTGCTGGCCATTCCTGCATATTTACACGTTCTTTCCTGAATAACCCATCCCAGCGAATCCTATGAATCGCAACTCACTAGTGATGAACCTCTTGCAAAATTATGCATGAACATTTATTTACCTTTTACCATCCCATAAAAATTAATCTAGCAAGAAAACATTTCATTGCAGTACCACACTAATCAATGCCTTAAAAAACCTGGTGCCCTGAATTATCCTTAAGCCATGTTAGTTTTGTAGATAAGATGAGATAACTTAACCTGATGGGGGTAATTTAGTAATTTTGTGACAAATACTTACCCCAGTACAAGTAGCCTTAGTGCCGGGATAAAAAAATCTTGCTATCTTGTGCTTGGTTCACATATTGTAACCCAAGAGATAATTAATTTAGGGCCTTTTTATCTCGAGATAAAATAGTCGCATGATATTGTAGACGCGCCCGCGGATGGGGGACCTCGCGGTTACAGTTCGGACTCGATTTGTGTCACGGTTCTTAATCTGAACCAAAGAGTCCAAATCCGGCAAATCGTTTTGAGAAACAGATTTTTTGAAAAGAAGTGCCAAACATGGACTGCTTTGCTAGATACAGAGTCGCCACCTAAATATTTTAAAATGGGGAAATTTAGGAAACCCTGACTCGGTGTCGAAGGCCACGTGTCCGTCATCACCAAAGTTGCCTCGGCTCGGGAACTTGGGTACGATCGGGGAAGGTCAGCTATGAGCACCCCCTTTCGCCCGGTCCGAAGACCGGCCTCTACTAACCGTGATATCCAATTTCGAAAACATTTATGTGTTCTTAAACCGGTTATTAGCCTAGAATTACTATGTTGTGCACGCAGCAAACAAGTATAGACCAAATCGCCCAAATTGGAACAAAACATTTCATGTTTGTTTTGAAAAATGGTTTGCTACTCGCAAGTAGGCTAAAATGCGGATTTTGCCACCCTCAAGTGGGCTTTTAGAAAAGATGATTTTGCCACTATCTAGTGGGCTTAAAACTCACAGTTTTAATGCATTATTCCAATTTAGGTAATTCGACCTCCATCCACAGGCATTTCAAACAGTTTATCATATAAGCATTTAGCCGTATGGCAAACATACTGTCATGGCAACACTTACACGCATGCAGGATGCTAAAGCATAAATACTTACGTAGTGCTCCGAGCCAAAACAGAAACTAGTCAGTAATCATATGCATGATCCTAGTTCATGTTAGAAATGGCTAATGCAACACATGCAAAGATGCAATCTAGATAGGCTCGGTTAACCTAAGCATGGCATATGTAATGCGATCAATTATCACATATTCGATTTGTAAATTGAAGTACCAATGCAGTTAGCGTGATGTACCGAGCCCAATACATGTAGTACAAATGCATGAATGCACGCATGCATAGCATAA